TGTGACTAGTCTATATCCTTGAGAGTGTGTTGATGTGTTATCACAACAAGACTTCGATCGACATTTTTCATTTAGAAGTTGTGACGACTTCAATGCTTTTAAAAACTATTTGTGGGGGTGGAGATGTTTTGAGGACATCGTACACATTTGCACTTTATCATATTCGAAGCCCAATGGATCCTTGCATTAGTACGAAACTTATGGATTGCCCCCTAGCAGTGCAAATAAATATTTAAAATAATCAACGTTAAAATATTTTTTATACTAAATTGATATATAATAATTCTATGTGTTGCAGATCTGGGTATATGAGACTGTCTCCCTTTTGGGTACTAGGTTTGCTAGGCTAGGGGAGACATGATATTTTCGGATATCCATCTGACAGACAGCTTTCCCCAACGATCCTTAGGTGAGTATTATACATTTGTGATCGTACTAGATCGTACTCCTACACAAATAACAACATTAAAAAATATTAACTTAATTAAAATATGCAAACTCATACAAAACGGTAATCAACAAATTATATTTGAATCACATACTTAATCTCGGTCCATATTGAAATCGAACATCTGGTCATCTTGAGTATGCAGAACAGCTAATTCACGCATGAAATTTCGACCCTCCTCTTCTATCGCATTGTCAACTCAATTAGGATTTCAAGCTGACATATTGATATTTCAACTAGTTAATGATCATGTGCTGAAATTTTGAAATGACATACAATATAAATCGCAAATGTATAATATTCACTTGATGGTCATCGAGAAGAGCTAATAATTGTCTACCGATGGATAATCGTCTGCTCGAGAGGTTCGCCAATGATGCATCCGAGGGCAGGGTGTCTCCATCTCCTTGCAAACCGTGTACCCAAGAGGGAGACAGTCTCATATGCCTAAATCTGCAACACATACAATTATTATATATAAATTAAGTATAAAAAAATATTTTAACGTTGATTATGTTAAACATTTACTTGCATTGCCAAGGGCAATCCATAAGTATCGTACTTACGCAAGAATCCCTTGGACTTCGAGCGTGATCTTGTGAAGACGTGTACGGTGTCCTCAAAACATCTCTGGCCCTACAGATAGTTGTTGAAGGCATCGATGTCGTCAACAACTTTCAAATGAAAAAGGTCTATCATAGTCTTCTTGTGATGACACATTATCACATTCTTAAAGATGTAGACCAGTCCTAACTTCAAGTTGTCCAACATATGGTCACACCTGATTGCGCCAATCAACTACGACAGAAACACTGAAAATACATTTCGTGCAGTCTATTACTTCTTTGAGTACCGTCAGTGTTTACTTCGTCACTCGTAATCTTCAGTCCAGTCATCAGAGCAAACTCAAACATATAAAAAGTAGCGACCTTACCCTTGAGATTGAAGTGGATGGCATCACCGTCGACCGACCTAAGCATCTGACACATTATTGCATCAATGATCTGCCGGGAGTACTGCACCTCTTTCAACCGATAATTGGGCTATAGGAAGGATTGACGTAACATATCTCCATACTGCTCATTCAACAACTCCAATATAGTGGTGAAACTATCAAAGCTGCTATTCCAAGTACATTTTCCCGCAATTTGTCTCAGCTCTGTATCTACATGATACTCCATCTTGCAAAAATTCAAATATTAGGAGTTTGTTTGGGAGGAATTAAAATCCAATTAACATTGAAAATATAGTCTTTATTGGGTCCCACTCGTTTAATAAAAGTCAACAATAATGACTAATTTTTCAATTTTAATCCGATTTTAATCTCTATTAAACACACTCTAGAACTTTCAATAAAAGATAATTGAATAAAGCATAATCTCAGAAAATTAAGCGAAACGAATTGTAACTACTATACACGAGAAAATAAAAAGAATGTAAAAATTAAAGGAGAAAAAAAATATTTCCATCCAAAAATAAAATAAAAAATTAAAGATAATAATAAAAAATATAAAAATTAAAGAAAGAATATGAAAAACCATTTCAAATGAAAAAAATAAATAAATTATGAAAATAATGAAGAAATTTTAAAAATTAAGAAAAAAAAATTAAATTAAATACAAATTAATGACCATAAATAAAAAGGAAAAAATAAATGAAAGAAAATTATAAAAATATAAAAAATAAAGTAAGAATATTATAAAGTATTTTAAATTGAAAAAAAATTAAATTTTTAATGAGAAGAAAACAATTAAGGAATCTTTTAAATTATTGCTAAACAAATTATAATAAAAAAATTAAATAAAAGGAACTTTTAAAAGTTAAGTAAAGAATATAAAAATTTTAAAGATTTGTTTAAAAATATTTAATTAAAAAGAGTTTTAAATTGAAAAAAAAAATAAAAAAAAAAGAATTTGGTAATTTGATTAAAAACAATATTTAATTTGATAATTTTCAATTATTTATTTAATTTAGAAAAAGAATTAAATTTTCTTAATTTACAATTTTTTAAAAAAAATATCTGGGCCGAATAGTTGACCCAGTCTGTCGCTAGGCCGACTGTTAACCGTCAACGTTCAGGTTGCTCTCACTGGAAATCAGCATTTTCGGCGAGACTAACCTATTTTTTGGCAAATGCAACATTTAAATATCTAATACACTCGATAATCTACCAAAATAATGAATAATAAATATTATAAATATCATAAAATCTACAAATAAACACCATAAAATCACAAAATTTTCAAATATCATAAGTGAAAAATCAATCTCATAATCCACAAAAAAACTAATCTTGTTGAAGATAATGTCGTCGATGACTGGATTGTGTGGTGGTCGGACTGTGAGGATGACAATTTTGACTGAGTCCCAACTATTATAGACCGTGTGAAATGTTCTTTTTTCTTTTTTTCCTCTCAATTCTTGTTTTTTATACGAGAGTAAAATTGACTTTTGATAAATACATGTTATTTTAAATAATTAACTTTTTCTTAATGGTCAAAAGCTATTATGGAAATATGGTCAATCAAGTTAGAGGTGTTAAGACGGACGAACCGGCCAGACCTGTGAAAATCGGCCCGGATCGACCCGGGACCGGGGGTCGACCTGTGACCCAAGCGGACGGTTCACGGGTCAAGGAGGTGTGACCAGCGGGTTTCACAGGTTGTGCCTTCACAGGCCGCGGTTAACCCACTGGCCCGTGAAAAAAAAAAGTAGGCCAACCTAGTTGGGATGTACTTATACTATAAATATTTGATAATAGTAATTAGAAATATATTTAGTTGTTATTTGTTTAAACTAAATTTAACTTTGCAAAATTATAAATAATTCATGTAACATTAAATTTGAATTTTATGTAAACATTTCTTGGTATAAATATGAATTTATCATTTTGTTCAATTCTTAGTTTAAATTTAACAAAAAAAATATTTTTTGCTATAAATATGAAAAAGTCTATATTTTTATAATTTTATTTATACAATAATACGGGTCAAATCAGAATAAACCACGACCCGTGACCCACATGGGCTCGACCCGAATGGGTCAACGGGCGGGCTGGATTATAGTCCAAAATTTGTAGCGAGTGGGCCCGGAACCGGCCCGAAACCCGTAGCGGGCGGGCTTTTTTCATGCGGACCGTCACCGGACTCATATGTTGGCGGGCCAACCTGACCCGAACCACCCGGATTGACACCTCCGAGTCAAGTGGCATGACCATTCTCTTCAAGTTTGCGCCATGCTTAGCGATATCAACGAGTCGAGCCAAAAAAAAAAAAACTCGAGCCGAGCCCGAGCTTTTTGGGACAGAGCTTTTTTGGACCGAGCTTTTTTTGGCCCGAGTCGAGCTGAGCCTGAGCAAAAAAAATGAGGTTCGACCCGAGCTTTTGGCTCAAGCCTTAGCGGGTCGAGTCGGCTCAGGTTCTTTGATTTTTTTTTTTATTATTATTTTTTCTCAGGCAGGCAACAAGCTGCCTTCAAATTTTTTTTTTTTTTTAATAGGAGGCTCGCCCAGGCCACGGGCTGGCCTGATCTCGAGCCGACTCCCCAACCTCCTAACTTTTTTGTCACCGTTAGCCATGCACGATGCTATCATCACTCTGTGGCTGCAGCAACCTCAGTAAGGAACGCATCCGTTTCCTGGACTGTCTCGTGTGCCCCGTGAGTTTTGAAATTTAGCTTCTATTCTATTTATTTGGATTGTAGATTTTTCTCTTCTATTTGTAAGTATCTGTATTAATTCCTCTATTTCGCCTTTCAATTTTCCGAAAGCGAGGAGAAAATTGCGAAATTGATATATATTGTATGTGTGCCGAAGAATCACCAAATCAAAATTACTGCTGCTAATCAAAAACTTTAGACGTCATTCATACGCGATATAATCGTCATAGAAGTCCACGTGGCATCCATTAGCGTAAATTTAGGGATTTAATCATCCTCTTCAGGTCCCTCCCCTGCCCCCCACCCAGAAAAGAAGCACATTGCACTCATTTGATCTCCAACCTAAATTAGAGGATTGGGTCCCCACTATGTGCTTAGCACTCAAATGTTATTGACATTCACACCTAATCTCAACTTCCCACACTTGTTTTTCTTTCTGAATAATATATTCTTTCTTTAGATCTATTTTTATCTAAAAAATTAATCAGGCAGTGATGACACATATTTATTTATCCAAATATTCTTATCAAAGGTCTAGAGCATGTATAAGCACCTGTTTGATAACCATTTTTTTTGTGAAAAATAGAGTTTTGAACTGGGAGAATGCTACCATTTATTTATATGTACTCCTACACAGATAATTTTTAATTTTAATGTACTAAGCATGTCCCCAGTTACAGACCATTATAACTCCAATACACCATGCACATGTAAAAAAATGCATTAGAAAGTTAGGGCACCTTTTCAGGAGTGGGGCGACACTACTAATTTTAATGCATCCCCATAGCACTCTTGAGAACTTTTTCCTGGAAGTCCACCTGAAAACCACAACAAACCTTAGCTAAAAGGCCTGAATCATACTAGGTAAGTATTAGTTGCAGAAATTTAGACTGACATGAATATATATGTTATTGTCTTTCTCATTCAAATTTTAGCTGAGGGGTATGGTATATCAGATGTTCATATTGGCTACCAGTTAACTCTTGCCATTCCTTCTGCATATACTGAGGGCTTTTCGGGTAGAGCTTATCTAATGGAAACTGAACGAAGTTTGCCCAACTTTAGAACAGCGCTCAGCGTGGAAGCCATCAATGAAAAGTACTGGTGTTCGCTTGACATCTTTCTTGGAGATGTAAAAGTATGGACTTCAGGCCATTTATCCAAATTCTACACAACAGAGAAATGTTTGCTTGAGCTTACACGTTATGGAGACTTAAGATTGAAGGATCAGAACGAAAGAATTGGATGGCGAAGTGGAACTTCAGGACAGGGTGTGGAGGTAATATTCAAAATCTGATTCTAGATAAGACCTTATCTGCATATTTGGTGAGATGGACTGTCCCGTATTAGATAGGATTAAAGAACAAAAAAAAAAAAAAAGGTTTACAACTTTATTGTCCAGAAGTGTGTACAGACATGATATATCAAGAATTAATCACTGATATCTGATGCTAGATTAAAATATGCAACTGCAGAGACTGCATTTACTCAGGACAGGCAACCTGGTTCTGGTTGATTCCCTCAACTTGATTAAGTGGCAAAGTTTCAATTTTCCAACTGATACTATGATGTGGGGGCAAAGACTAAGTTCTGCAACACGGTTAACTTCTTTTCCAATCAACTCAAGTAATTTGTTTTATTCATTTGAAATTCAGTATGACAAGATTGCACTGTATTTGAATTTTGGTATTTGGAAGTACTCTTATTGGGAATTTAGGCCTTCCATTGAGAAAAACATTACATTTGTCCAGTTGAGTTCTGAAGGGCTGGAGTTATTCACTGGGAAACACCAGAAAATTGATCAGATCACGTCAGAAGGACCTGAACCCCTGAGGTTTTTAGCACTTGGAAATAACACAGGTAATTTGGGACTCTATCATTTCTCAGCTGAAAAGGGAAAGTTTGAAGAATCCTACGAAGCCCTCAACACTTCATGTGATCTTCCTTTGGCATGTAAGCCCTATGGTATTTGTACTTTATCAAACATGTGTTCGTGCATTCGAGTCGTAGAAAGTGATGGATTCCAATCAGACTGCAGGGTGACAAATATTGAGGGGCTATGTGGGAGGAGTCGAGCTGAGATGCTCGAGGTACGGGGTGCTACCACTGTCCTCAAGGGCATTCCAAATAAGGCTAATGTTGCCAAAGAAGTATGTGCAAATCAGTGCTTGGATGACTGTACTTGTGTTGCAGCACAATATACAAACTCAGGAGAATGCTTTCTGTATAAATTTATTAGGGGAATCAAACAAGTTGAAAGCGAAAGCGGTCTAATTTTCATGGTTAAGAGACCAAAAGGAAAAGATGAGGGACATGGAAGACATTCTGGATTGCAGAAATGGGTCATAATTGTGGTAGGAGTGGTTGATGGATTCATTATTTTTCTTGTGTTGGGGGGAGTTGGTTACTATATAATTCGAAAGAAATTAAAGAATTCGCCAGTTACTGGCCAAGAAACATGACCTCATCTAATTGAGTTTTTTCTGCAACAAATGTTGTAGTGAACTGACAAGGATTTTTGTTTATCGAGTTAGAAAAGGGTAAATTGTGTGATCGTCTTCAACCTTGACTCTCTTAAGCACTTCTACACTCAAACTTTATTTCTTGGAATTTCTACCATCAATCTTACCTTGACTCTCATAAGCACTTCTATCCTCAAACTTTATTTCTTGGAATTTCTACCATCAATCTGTGTAAATTTTAGCGGCCTTGTCCCCTGATATTTCGGTCCACTATTGCCATTAATGTGACTTGAAATGTCAACATAAACATTAAAAAAAGAAGAAGAAACAAAACTTAAACTGGTTCATCTTCATCTGGCACATACGTTCCCAAGCTGTTGGAATATTCCAATATTAGATCCTTCTTCTAGATCCTTCTCCTATTTGTTATAAGATGCTTATTCTAGTTCATTCTTCTATTTGTTTTGCAGTTAGTTTGTTAGATTTCACTCTATAAATAGAGCACTGTATTCACATTTACATTTGAGCATTTGATGAATAATAA